TGTTCCTTCAGATAGATGTTCCCCTTAGATGTTCCTGGTGCATGTTGTCTCTCTCCTCCTTTATAGTCCTCTTCCACCAATCCCAACTCTGCTACCCACACGCCGAGCACGCTGCTCTCCTCCAATCAGGAGCAGGATCAGCTCCTGGAGGTCATCACTCAAGTTGGCAAGAGGCAGCTGTGTAGAAGCTGTTTCCTCCTCTCCCAGCGCCATATTGTGGGAGAGCAGATGCATAGAATAAGTCTTAATTCCAGTAACTTAGTCTAGTCCGGGTTGCTCCCCACAAGAAGGAAAAAAAAAACACTGTTCTTCAATGGTCAAGACAAGATCTGTAAAAATAATCAAATCTCAAAATGTCAGTTTCACTCATATACTTTATATTTATTAGATAGCATAGATATGGGAAGACATGTGCTATTTGTCTTGTTGGGACTGGCTTATTTCAATAAGTGTAATGGTTTCCAGTTGCACTATTTTGTTGCAAAAGACAGGATTTCATTCTTTATTATGGCTGAGTAGTTTACATAGTGTATATATACCACATTTTCTTTATCCAGCCCTGAATAGATGGGCATCTGGATCGATTCCATATCCTAGCTATTGTGAATTGAGCTGCAAAAAACATAAGGGTACAGATAACTCTTTCACATATTGATTTCATTTCATTTGGATAAATTCCCGAGTGTGGGATGATTGGGTCGTATTATAGATCTATGTTCAGATTTCTGAGGAATCTACATACTGTCTTCCATAATGGCTATACTAGTTGGCATTCTCACCAACAGTGGATTAGAGAACATTTTTCCCTATAACCTCACCAGCATTTGTTGTTTGTTGATTTCTGTATGACAGCCATTCTAACTGAGGTGAGGTGAAACCTTATTGTGGTTTTGATTTGCATTTCCCTGATAGCTAGTGATCCTGAGCATTTTTAATGTGTCTGTTGGCCTTTTGAATTTTCTCTTTTGAAAAATGCCTGTTGAAGTTCTTTGCCCATTTCTTAACTGGATTGTTTGTTGTTATTGAGTTTCTTGAGTTCTTTATAGATTCTGTATATTAATCCTTTATCAGTTGCATAGTTTGCAGATATTTCCCCCCATTCTGTCAGTTGCTTCTTCACTTGGCTGAGCGTTTCCTTTACAGTGCAGAAGCTTCTGAGCTTGATGTAATTCTATTTGTCTAGTTTGGCTTTGATTGTCTGTGCATCTATGGTCTTTTCCAAGAAGTCTTTGTATATGCCAATGTCTTGCAGGGTTTCCCCAATGTTCTTTAGTAATTTGATGGTATCAGGTTGTAGATTTAGATCTTTGATCCATTTTGAGTTGATTTTTTTGGTGTAAGGTATAAGGTAAGGTTTTTGTTTCATAGTTCTGCACACAGAGATCCAATTTTCCCAGCACCATTTGTTGAACAAACTGTACTTTCTCCAGGGATTGATTTTAGCTCCTTTATCAAAGATTAGTTGATTTAGATGTATGGATTGATTTCTGGGGTTTATATTCTGTTCCATTGATCTATATGTCTATTTTTGTGTCAGTACCAGGCTGTTTTGATTATAACCGACCTGTAGTATGCAATGAAATCTGGTATTGTGATGTCTTTGGCTTTGTTTTTGTTGTATAAGATTGCTTTAGCTATTTTGGGTCTCTATGTTTCCATATGAATTTTAGCATTATTTTTTCTAGACCTGAGAAGAATGTCAATGATATTTTGATTGGGATTGCATTGAATCTGTAAGTTGATATTGGTAGTATGGGCATTTTGATGATATTGATTTTTCCAAATCACAAGCATGAAATATTTTCCCATTTTTGTGTCTTCTTATGTTTATTTCTTTAATGTTTTGTAATTTTCATTATAGAGATGTTTCACCTCCTTGGTTAAATTTACTCCATGCTATTTAAATTCCTTTGTAGCTATTGTGAATGGGATTGATCTTACAAGTTCTTGTCATCTGCAAACAGCGATAATTTAACTTACTCCTTACTCCTTTCCAAGTAAGTCAAATTAGCCCTGTTTGCAGATGACAAGAACTTGTAAGATCAGTCCTATTCACATTTTTATTACTTTGATTTCTTTTTATTGCCTAATATCTCTGGATAAAACTTCTAGAACTATATTGGGAAAGTAAGGGCATCCTTATCTGGTTCTGGATCTTAGTGGAAATGCTTCTAACTTTTCCCCATTCAATATTCTGGCTGTGAATTTGTCATATAATTCCTTGATTATGTTGAGGAATGTTCCTTCTTTACCCAATTTGCTTAAGGTTTTTATCATAAAAGAATGTTGTATTTTTTAATTGCTTTCTCTGCATCTATTGAGATAATTATGTTTTTTATTCTTCAACTTGTTAATGTTATGTATCATATTTATTGATGTGGATATTTAATCATCCCTGCATACCAGGGATAACTCTCAGTTCATCTGGGCAAGAGACTTTTCTGATGTGTTGTTGGATTCAATAATTTTTGCATCTATGTTCATCAGGGATGTTCATCTATAGTTCTCTTTCTTTGTTGTATCTTTTCTCTTTTTGGAGTTAAGGTGATGATGGCCTCATAGAAGGAGCTTGGGAAGATTCCCTCCCTTTCAGTTGTTTTTTTAAAAGCTTTTGAAGAATTGGAATTAGTTCTTCTTTAAAAGTCTGGTAGAATTCAGCAATAAAGCCTCCCAGTCTTGGTCTTTTCTTTGTTGAGAGTGTCTTTATTACTTATTCAGTCTCCAACTTGGTGATTGGTCTATTTAGGTTTTCTATGTCTTCATGACTCAATTTTGGTAAATTGTATGTGTTCATGAATCTATCCATTTCTTCTTAATTTTCCAATTTGTTGGCATATGTCAGTTTGCAGTAATTGCTGATGATTCTTTTTATATCTGTGGTATCCATTGGTACATCTCCTTTTTCATCTGATTTTATTAATTTGGGTCTTCTTCTTCTTCTTCTTTTTTTTTTTTTTTTTTGGTAGTTTTACCAGTGGTGTATCAATTGTGTTATTTATTTATTTATTTATTTTAGAAAACCAGCTCTGGCCGGCGCCGCGGCTCAATAGGCTAATCCTCTACCTAGTGGCGCCGGCACACCAGGTTCTAGTTCCGGTCGGGGCGCCGGATTCCATCCCGGTTGCCCCTCTTCCAGGCCAGCTCTCTGCTGTGGCCGGGGAAGGCAGTGGAGGATGGCCCAAGTGCTTGGGCCCTGCACCCCATGGGAGACCAGGAGAAGCACCTGGCTCCTGGCTTCGGATCAGCGCGGTGAGCAGCGGCCGTTGGAGGGTGAACCAATGGCAAAAGGAAGACCTTTGTCTCTGTCTCTCTCTCTCACTATCCACTCTGTCAAAAAAAAAAAAAAATCAACTCTTTATTTCACTGATCTTTTGTATTTTTTGTTTCAATTTTGGTTATTCTCCAAATTTAATTATTTCTCTTTCCATATTAATTTTGGGTTTGGTTTGTTGACTTTTGTATCTTGGCTTTGAATCCTGTACTCTGTTAAATTCACTGATTAGTTTTAGTGTTGTTTTATACATTCTGTAGGTCTTTTAGAGATTTTTCTAAGGATGCAAGAACATTGGAATTATAGATTTCTATCTTTTTTTTTTTTTTTGACAGGCAGAGTGGATAGTGAAAGAGAGAGAGACACAGAGAAAGGTCTTCCTTTTGCCGTTGGTTCACCCTCCAATGGCCGCTGCGCACCGCGCTGATCCAAAGGCAGGAGCCAGGTGCTTCTCCTGGTCTCTCATGGGGTGCAGGGCCCAAGCACTTGGGCCATTCTCCACTGCCTTGCCCGGCCACAGCAGAGAGCTGGCTTGGAAGAGGGGCAACCGGGAAAGAATCCAGCGCCCCGACCGGGACTAGAACCTAATGTGCTGGTGCCGCTAGGTGGAGGATTAGCCTATTGAGCCGCGGCGCCGGCTCTATCTTTTCAATCTTCTTGCTTGCCAATTGTACTGGCTAGGATACTTACTATGACATAACATAGAAGATGCATTACTTTCTTCCTGATCTTAGGGGAATCATGCTTATTTATCCTCCATTAAAAATTAAGAAGCTGGCCGATGCCGCGGCTCTCTAGGCTAATCCTCCGCTTTGCGGCGCCGGCACATCGGCACACCGGCACACCGGGTTCTAGTCCTGGTCGGGGCGCCGGATTCTGTCCTGGTTGCCCCTCTTCCAGGCCAGCTCTCTGCTGTGGCCAGGGAGTACAGTGGAGGATGGCCGGAGTACTTGGGCCCTGTACCCCATGGGAAACCAGGATAAGTACCTGGCTCCTGCCATCGGATCAGCGCGGTGCTCTGGCCGCAGCACGCCAGCCGTGGCGGTCATTGGAGGGTGAACCAATGGCAAAGGAAGACCTTTCTCTCTCTGTCTCTCTCTCTCTCACTGTCCACTCTGCCTGTCAAAAAGAAAAAAATTAAAAAGCTATGGTTCTTTCTTTTCTTTTTTTTTTGGGGGGGGGGGGTAAATGTCCTTTATCAGATCGCATTTCTTTTTATTCCTAGCTTTCTGAGTGTTTTTATTAGGGATGGATTTAAGCTTTTGTCAAATTCTCTTTTCTTTTTATGAACCTGTCGAAATGATTATATGATTAGTTGCTTTTATTATGTTAATATAATGAATTATATTGATTGGCTTTAAAATAGTAAATAAATTTTACATTCCTGGTATAAAGTCAGTTTAGCTGACGTGTTTAAGGGAACTTCAAAAAGTTCATGCAAAATAGAATGTAAAGATACATGCAAAAAGATTTTGAAATCTTGTGATTTCATGTGCATGTGAGGATTCTTCAAAAAGTTCCTGAAGAATCTGTATTATAAACATAATATGCATGGATTTCAAAATCTTTCTGCACTAAAATAAAAATCATCTTTTAATTTAATTTTCCATAAATCTTTTGAAGTACCCTCATATTATTTTTCCTGTATTCCTATATTCAAATTTTAAATATTTTGTTAAACATTTTTCCTCTATTATTGGTCTATAGTTTTCTCATGGTGTTTTTGCAGGTGTTGGCACCAGGGTTATATTGACCACATGGAGCGTTATGAAAGTGTTCTCTTCTGTTTCCTAGGAAAGTTTGTGTAAGTCATGTTATGTTTTCATGAAATGTTTGATAGTGTTCTCCATCTGGGTGAAGCTAGAAAATGGGACTGCCATTTTCTCATTAGTAAAGTTTATGGTTGCAACTGAATTTGTTAATAGATGTCGATCTTTGAGATGCTATTTCTTTCTTTATTGATTGTGGAAATTGTGCCATTCAAAAATGTATTCATTTTCTCTAACTGTGAGTAAGACAATTTTTGATACAAAGAAATCTGCTTATTTCTCAAGGAGGAAAAACTAAGCTATGCCCTGCAATAATTAAGCTGGAAAGCTATTAAGGAAGTTAGGGAACATAGGCTAATGGCCTTTCTGGGGTGTCTGTAAATTATTTTGGTATTATTAAGACCTTTCTGCTCTAATTGGTCCCAATTCAAACCTTCCTACTAGATATTCAGCTTATAGCACTTGATAATTGTTCTTTTTATTGTAGTTGTTCTCTGACTAGCCATGTGGCACCTTCAAGAATTCAGCCAAGACTCAGGAGACCCTGATACATATTTCTGGTACTCTTTTCCTGCTTCGTTCTATTCCATTCTCTCTGGTACTCTGCTTCACCAACGTTAGCTGCTCTGCTCCAGTTTCTGCCCTTCCCTTTCTTTTGACTTACGGCTCTCTGCGTTACAATCTGGACAGATACTGAGAATCAACACAAGGCATCACAGTTCTACACTACCTGTTTTCTAAAGCCTAGAAACAGCTTCAACAAGTTTTCTCCACTTTTCTGTTGTTTAGTGTTCAATACCTAGTCCAGCATCAGTTACTCCATCAGGCCCAGAAGAGGATGCTGTCCTTTTCCAGAAGTCTAGAGCAGTCTTCTCCTAGGTCAGAAGTAGTTAGATTTTCATACTCATTTTAACCAATTACCAGTAAGGGATATAGGATTACCATTTCTGATACAATCTAATTGAAGTTCACTCATAAAAGTAAGGTTAGCAACATTCTTAAGGCCACATTTCAAAGAGGGTATTCATCAAAGGGATAAAGGAAACATTTTTCAGTGAGGAAAATGTTTTCTATTTAAATAATGGTGCTGGATATAGGACTCATACCTTCAAAACACATTAAGTTATAAGCTTAAAATTGATGAATTTTACTGTACTTAAATTTTGCCTTAATAAGGCATATTTAAAAAAAATGATTATTGTTGGGGCTAGCATTGTGATGCAGTGGAATGAGTTGCCACCTGTGATGCTGACATCCCACATGAATGCAGGTTTGAATCCTGGCCATTCCACTTCTGATCCAGCTCCCTGCTAATGCACCTGGGAAAGCAGCAGAAGATGGCCATGTACTTGGGTCCCTGCCAGCCACATGGAAAACCCAGATGGAGCTCCGGGCTTTTGGCTTTAATCTGGCTCATTCCTGGCCATTGTGGCCATTTGGGAAGTGAATGAGTTGATGGAAGATCTCTTTCTCTCTTTCTGTCTGTCTCTCTAACTCTGCCTTTCAAATAAGTAAAATGTTTAAAAATTATTATTATCAACTTTTGTTGCAAAATACAGAAAACTGCATACTTCCAAGTACATATAGCAACAAGGAGCTTGAGTCCCAATCCTCAGCTTCACAGTGAGCACTATAAAAGGTAGCATTCTTGAAATATTTATTTATTTATTTATTTATAGACAAACAGAGACAGTAACACACAGGGCTCCTTTCTGTTAGTTTATTCCCCATAGGATTACAATGGCCATGCCTGGGCCAGGACTGAGAACTCAATCCAGGCATCTCACATGGGAGCAGGGACTCAAGTACTGAAGCCATTATCTGTTGCCTCCCAGGGTGTGCACTAGCAGGAAGCTGGAATCAGAGCATAGTCAAGGCACTCCATCCAATATGCTAGTCCAAAAGCCAACCCCTGAAGCAGAGTTTTACCCATAGAATTATTAGCAGCTGAAGATACTCTAGAGAGAGGAGCATCCTAGGCCAGAAGCTTTGAGCTATTTTTCTTACATTTTCTTTTACTTTCCTTCATCACTGTCATCTTTTCTCTTGCACTTGCCTTGAGGAGAAAATGCTTTCTTCTCTTTTTAATGGAACGATCTGTTTTTCCTTACAGGATTCCATCCCCTTAGCCTCCTTTAATAGCCTGTAATCTTAAACAAAACAGTGCAATGTCTTAGTTTGTCTTCCTTGAGATACCGTCTTTATTATTTTAGTTTCAGAAGTGTCTTGCCCTTGTTTTATTTGGGATCATTGGTGAAAAACCCATTTAACTTTTGAAATTGCTGCCTTGTTGCACACACTAATGATTGTCTATAGAGCATCCACCCATCTTTCTCCTATTTACTAGAAATCTGAATCTCTTCGAGTATCCACCACACCCTTAAGCAATCTATGTGACCCATGGAAAAATGACTTCTTTCCATATAGTATGAGCTCAGTAAATCTCTGTTGAATGAATTGTGTTTATTAAACTTTATTTTAGCTTTTCATTTGATCTACTATCTTCCCTCATGGAGTTAAAATTGTTTTGTTTGTTAGGTAATGCTGATACAGTATCTAAGACCTCAACACATCAAGACCTTAAAAAACAAAAATTAAAATGACACATTGTGTTTGTCAGTACTGGTGAGATTGTGTTGCAATAGCAATTATTCCCCAGGACTTACTGACTTATTATAAGAAAGAGGCTTAATATTTGCAGCTTATTTTATATATCTATTATAGGTTAGTGATGAGGGTTTGAATGTTCTAGGCTCCACAAAATCATTCATCAACCCATGCTGATGGCTCTGCCATCTTTTGTCTGCACCATATAGAAAACACAGCCTTCCTGATTGCCAAAGTAGAGGTAGAAGGAGCTTGCAGAATTGAGCACAGGCTCTTCTCAGTCTCACTACTCACCTTCCATTGGGCAGAACTAATCACGTGGCTTTACTCAAGTACAGAAACTGAGATTTACAGTTTTCCATAGTCTCAGAGGAGAAAAGGACCAGCTATTGATGGATATTATTATTACTGATGAATATTACCTATACTTGAGGATAATTATTATTACCAATAATATTACTCATGGATATTACCTATATTTTAGGATATTATTATTACTGATGGATGTTACCTACAACTTTAAAATATAAAATATGCTGAAAGTCCAAATTAAAAATGTAATAAAAAATTTAAGTAGCACAACAGGTTAAACCACTGCCTGCAATGCTAGATCCCGTATCAGAGAATTGAGTCCTGACTTCTCTCTTTCTGATTTAGCTCCCAGCTAATGTACCAGCAGAAGATGGTCCAAGTAATTTGGCCCCTGTGTTTCGTGTGGGAGACCCAGATAAACAGGTTCCTGGCTCCTGGCTTACAGCTAGCAAAGCCTTAATCATCAAGGCCAGATGGGAATGAACCAATGTCTTCCTCTCTCCCTCTTTCTTGGGCTCTCTCTCTCTGTCACTGCCTTTCAAAAAATAAAATGTCTTTAAAAAATTAAAAATAAGAAAATCCAAATTAATAAATGCTACATTGTCATTAAATTGAGTATTTATAAATATTTTATTACATTCCAAAAGTTCATTTTTGTTTCAGTCTTTAATATGAATAATTGCTATAAAATCAAAAGTTATTTTGTGTTACTTGTATCCAATAATGTCAAGCACAAAAGTGTCAAACTTCCTTCATAAATTTTCTGATACATTTTAAAATGCTTGAAATGTTGTGATGTGACCCCCAAAGCTTAAAAATCCAAAAAAAATCTTTTAGTGGAACTTGATAGACAAAACCGTTATCTTTCTCATTTTATCCCTGGAGTCCAGAGTGATCTCTGATGTAGTGGAGATTGTCAATAGTTGCTGAACTACTAAACAAAAGGATAAAATAATTTAGTCCTCACTTTCAAGGAAAGAATAATGTCAGTGAAAAAATTGACAAGTAAAAAAATTCAATAAATTTCAGTAAAAGTCAAGCTGCTAGTATGCAAGAGCTGGTATACACACGGTATCGTGTGGGTACTGTAAGGAGACTTTAATAAACATGTGGACAGCCCTGAGAGGAAAGGGAAGGAATTAATTGCAGAACACATGGCCACACTTGGAGAGATGGCTTTGGGTTGAAGGAATCAGCCAGTCTGCAGACCTTTTCTGATTCAGATAGGGAAAGTAAGATGAAGATGTCTGTGCCAGCAAAAGGGAATAATATTGCGCAAGGCAGGGAGGTGTGAAGAGGTCTGATGTGTTGTGAGAAGTGCAGTGTGTTTGGAGTAGGCAGGGCAGAATTTCAGGAGTGGAGTTGATGAAGATGGAAAAGCAGAGGAGCTGTACTGTGAAGAGTATTTGGAAATGGGCTATTTCTCTGTAGGCATGGCTTGTTGGCTGATTAGGGAACCAAACCTTCCAAAACATTCCTGGATAAAGTAAACCCCATAATAGAAATAGAAATATGACCACAGAATCTGATGCCTGTGAGATTTTAGTTTTGCCTTTAAAATATGGCTCAAAAGTATGTTTTTTTTTCTACAGTTCAATTTCAAAAATTGCTCTCTATACAAGTTGAGACTGAGCCAAGAATATAACAGAATAGAGCCCTCACTTTATGGTTGCAGGGGAATATCTGGATTGATTGTACATGATAAGGGATCTGTTTGGAAAACAGAGTAGAGGTAACAAGGGAATGAGTCTGCAAGGTGAATCTTGAGTGCCTACACTCAATATCCTGGAACTAGAGCTGTAGTTTCTCATATTTTCCACTCTTTTTCCAGAGTTGCTTAGGTGTGGGGGTGGTCTGATCTTGTTTATGGCTTTGAGGCAGTCATTGTGCTATGTCAGGTGAGTTTCTCAGCAGTTGCTTGGCTCTCACTCCAGCCAGGTGCAGACAATTGTCAATTCCATCAGCAGGTGCAAGAGCACAGTAGGGAATTCATGATGTTGCTCCATAGGATCCATCCAAAGGCCAAGGAGCTAAATGCAGGAGTCTTTAGAGGTGGGTTGGTTATAGAGGGTTGATGTAGAGATGAGGTTACTTGCAGCTGAAGTTTTTAGTGCCTGGAGACTTCAGTCCCTAACCTCTGATCTGGCTTTACTGGGATGTCTTCAACTTGCCCATTTCTCTCTTTAACAGCCTTTCTAGTTCCCTCCCATTCCTACTTGCTTGCTGTATGACTGATTTCTTGCTCATTTACACTTCAGGTCTTATCATGGTTACCACCTGGGAAGACTTCTTTGGTTTCCTGAACTCCCATAAGTTAGACTAAATAAGATGGTTCTTATAACCGTCTACCAAAAAATTAACTCGCCAGCAGAACAATCCAATGTTTCTCTCACTGAAAGTAGTTACTGCAACAATCCATATAAGCACCCAGAAGCAAGTCTTTTTGTCTTCCTCCACCCCCATTCTAAGTTGTAGCTCAGTTGCTGTAATATCTAACTGGGAAAGTATAATATCAAACCTGGTCTCATATATGATCTAGTATCTTATGTTACAGATTTCAGGTTCCTACAAGAAATGTTCAAGGTACAAGAGCTATCACTTTCTGAGAAGGTTGAAGATACGGATTCCAGCAAGGTATTTATAGTTCATATGTATACCTTCCACTCCAAAAGCACATTTGCTTGGAAACAGAGCTGCTCTTCTACCTTTATCAGGTTTCCAAGGGAACAGTGTTAAAGTGTTGACCCAATGTCAAATTTGTTGAAAAGGAGAAAGGATATTGTTAACCCTTTATCCATAGAAAGTTTCGTTGAGAAGATGTCATTTAAAAAAAAAAAAACTTAAAGGAGTTGAGGAGTTGGCTATGTGGTTTTCTGAGAAAACTTTATAGACATAGGGAACAGTTAGTATAAATACCCAAAGGCATATCTGAAATAAGTGAGGAACATCTGGGATGTTAGCACATCTGGAATATATGAAGTGAGGAGAAATGTAGTGGGAAGTGGTCAGAACTAAGGGGTAAGGATATAGGTTACAACATACTCCTTGGGACAGTATAAAGACTCTACATTCTACTTTCCTGAGTAAAATGAGAGAGATACTTGAAGTTTTAAAAAGAATAGCGGTGAAATATATCTCATATTTTAGAAGGAATACTATAGCTGTTGTCCTGGGAATAGCCTATAGGAAATGGTTGCTGCATGGTGACTTGTTAGGGGGCCGTTTCAGTAAATCTATATAGACATAACCTGCAGAATATAATAGCTGTAGTGAGGGGGTACTAGTAACATTCTTGATATACTTGTATTACAAACAAAGCATGAAGGTTAGCTTTGCATTCCTTATAGAATATCACTTTTTAAAAAATATTTATTTATTTAATTATTTGAAGGTCAGAGTTACACAGAAAGAGGAGAGGCAGAGAGAGAAGAGCGAGCGAGCGAGAGCAAGAGAAAGAAAGAGAAAGAGAGAGAAAGAGGCCTTCCATCCACTGGTTCACTTTCCAATTGGCCGCAACGGCTATAGCAGAGCCAATCCAAAGCCAGGAGCTAGGAATTTCTTCTGGGTCTCCCATGTGGGTGCAGGGGCCCAAGGACTTGGATCATCTTCTGCTACTTTCCCAGGCCATAGCAGAGAGCTGGATTGGAAATGGAGCAGCTGGGACTTGAACCAGCACCCATATGGGATGCCAGCACTGCAGGTAGCAGTTTTACCTGCTACACCACAGTGCTGGCCCCTAGATTATAAATTTTTAAACAAATTCAAGTGTCCATGTAAATGAATGTACTATATAAGGAGATATAGCACAGTATCCTAAAAAATTGGTCAAGTGGCCAGTAAATGTTCAGTCTTTGAGATGAAACAAGTAAAAAAAAATCATGTTGCTGAGACTGAAATATGAAGCCCCTTGTGGCTTCATTGCAGTATGAGAAGCCAGTGACGATGTCTCCAGCTATATGGAAAATTTATGATGTTTCTGTTGTGAAAGTTATGTCAAAACTTGGACGTTTGTTTTCTCTCTCTGAATTTTGTTCATGCATTCTATAATTTAGATGCCACTGAGACTAGAGACTTCATTTCACCCACTAATATGTTATTATGAGAACTTCTTCCTGAGTGCCTAGTAAGCTATTCTCCTTAATCTGTAAACTATATAGTTTTATTGTTTATAGATTATTTGTAAATAAGAAATATAAAAATAAAGCATGATAAATTTTATTTGATGTAGATTTTACCACGATAAAAACAAGTGGAACATTTTGTCAAGTCACCCAAGGACACTGTGTTGTAAATACATCATTAGTTCTCTCAGCTTCTTGTAAGTATTTGATTCAGTTGACCTCTTTCTTGGAATCCTTTTCTTCATGTGGCTTCCAGGGTCCTCTACACTCATCCCACTGGAAAGACAGTTGGGTCGCAGTTGCCTTTACCAGATCATTCTCATCTTTCTGACCTCTAATTGTTGTTTTGCCCCTAAACAGGAAAATAAACAAAGAAGCTGCTGTTAGTGCAGTAGGAGTCATAGTACACTTTCATTAACTATCTTATGAACTCTTAGTTATTATTATTATTTTGTTTTTGTTACCAAGATGGTGACAACAACATAATGATAATAACAATCTCCAACAGCTCTGAGTGCTGCATCTTTCTATTGCTTTCATGCCTGTGACCCAAGTCTAAGTCATCATATTCTCATACCTGAAAAATGGCAAGAATTTCTTCACTGCTCTTCCGATTTCTACTCTTTCCCTATGTGGTGGTTCATTTTGTATCAACTAGGTTGGGTTATAAGCTGCTTATATATTTGGTTAAACATTATTCTCAGTATATCTGTTAGGATGTTTTTGGATGGGATTGACATTTGGTTTGGTACACTGAATAAAGCCAGTTGCCCCAACTAATGTGATCTGGACTCACCCAATTAATTAAAGTCTGAATAGAAGGAGAAAGCAACCCTCCATGAACAAGACGGAATTCCTCCTGTCTAATTTCATTAAACTGGGACATTGGTTTCCTCCTGCCTTTAGACTTGAACCTAACATAGTTCTTCTTTGGTCTCAAGACATCTAGCTTTTGGACTGGAACTATACCTTCATTTCTCCTATTCATTTAGCTTATTAACTGCAGATGTTGAAACTTAACATCTAAACTTGTCTAAGCCAATTTCTTATGATAAATTCCTTTATTTACATAACATATTGGTTGTTTCTCTTGAGGACCTTGACTAAGACACATGTAAAGTGTGTTTTCTTGAGGAAATCCTTTAAGAAAGTAAGCCTGATCACACCAGTGCCTTGCTCATGACACTCCAGTGGCTTCCTTTATTCTTGGAGTAAATTTTAAATTATGTCCTTCAAGAGAAGAGATGGATTGAGATGACAAATTTTCTTCTCAACAGAAAATCCAAAATATGTTTTTCCCCCATTATCAGCTGAAAATAGAAACTAACATATGCTATCACTGTGTGAATAGATCGAGGTTTCTTAGCTTCATGTTATAAGTGAATGATTTATTCTGAGCTCTAAATAGCTGTGTATAATTTTAATGTTGAATAGCATCATTTATTTCTAAATATAAGAAAAGGTATCCTTTAACAAATGGCTCATAATGTCTATGGCATAAAAGATAGAGTATGTTATACATGTAGTAAACACTATAGTAAGGTTCTGAATGACTCCCAGTCCTTTGTTCACAGATATGTATCATTATTAATTTCTGCACTTCCTTCCAAAAGTTATGTATATTCAAGCATATCATCGACACTAAAGGAGGGTCATAATTTACACAATATTCTGCTCTTGTTTTTGCTACTAACCAATATGGCTTGGCCATCTTTTCATTATCAGCTAATACACGTCTTGCTGCTTATATTACAGGCTGTACTGTGTTCCATAACATCTCTTTTTCTATTCTTTAGCTACAATAGACACCTGTACATATATCTTGATGAGCTTTTACAAGTGTGAACATAGCTAAATTTCTTGTAATGAACTCCTATGTAAAAAGGTAAGTGTGCCTTAAATATTAGAAGATATTGTCAAATTTGTCTTCAAAATCTTGTACAAAAGCACACTTTTACAGCGTCAGAGCTGGTCAGTATTAGACTTGTGAAATTTTTACCAATCTTTGGGTGGAACTAACATCTTGTTTTGGCTTATATTTCTTTAATTATGGATCATGAATTTTTCTTATGGCTATTGAACATTTAAAGATTTCTTCTACAAATTATATATTCATATCATTGATTATTATTTATTGGATTACTTGTCTTAATCTTTAGTCATATATCTTCTGTATATATTAAACAAATTTTCTTTGTTATATATTCCAAATATTCTCCAGTTTTGACTACACTATTCTTATGAACAATTTCTTATTTAGTCATATGAGTTCTGAATTGTGTCTTACTTAGAAAGATCTTCCCTATTCTAAGATTTGAATATATTAACTGAGAGTACTCATAATTTCATGTAAGATATTTATTTATTTATTTATTTATTTGAAAAATGGAGTGATGGAGGGGGAGGGAGGGAGAGTGAGAGTGAGAGAGAGAGAGCAAGAGCGCTTTTTTCTTCTGGTGCACACCTCAAATGCTACTATAGCTAGGTCTGGGCCACTTTGAAGCCAGGAACCAGGAACTCCATCTTGGTCTCTTGCACCATTGGCAGGGGCCCAAAACTTGGATCATTTTCCCTTGCTTTCCCAGACAGATTAGCTGGGATCTGGATCAAAAGTGGAGCAACTGAAACTCAAAATGGTGCCCTACTGTGAACTGCTAGCATCACAAGCAACTGTTCAGCTTGTTACACCATAATGCCAGCCCTCATAATTTCATTTTTAAATGTTTAAATCTTAGACCTCTGGAAATTATTTAATTGTGCAAAACAAGTAGGGATCTTGCTATATTTTCTTCCTAGTTGGTTGTTTGGTTGTCTCAACATCATTTATTGAAGTCTATTATTTTTGAATATGTTATTTGAAATACCCATTTATTAAATAGGTTTGTATCAAGTTTTGAATTCTCTGTTCATTCTATTGATTCATTTGCTTCTTCCTCAGTCCCAAACTACTTACTGCAATGTCTTACCTTATCTAATTATCAGGATGAGCTTATCCGTTCTCCTTTTCTTTTTCAGAATATTCTTACAGTTTTTTCCTGTGGACATTTAATTTATCTGTATATACAAGGGACTCAAGACACTTTTGCTTGTTCTAATCTGTGTTTATTCACACACACATATATAACAACTACATGTGTTTATTTCAGCTGGGCACTAGCCTTTTAGAATATAATCAGTTTATATATTCAAAATGACAAGTGGTAGAAACCTGGAAAATTGGTTTCTATATACATGGCTCCAAAAAGAGTTAACAAAATAATGCAGATGGACTATTTAGAGGCATAGATATTTTTAAATAGGTTGTCAAAAATCTTATTGTTCTTTTTTAGATGGTGACAAAAATATCTTATTGTTCTTTTTTTGATGGTGACAAAATCAACCAATAAATGTGAATAATGAAGGATCCAGTAAAAATATTTAAAAAATTGTCTCTGACATTGTTTATACATTTTCCTGCCTTCTCCTCCACCTCCCATAGTTCACTTGGTATAATCAAAGTATAATTTATTATTCTGTATGTTTTTTATTTGACATTTTTCTGGAGTCTTCTGTGTTGGCACTAAACTTAGAACAGTTTCCATGGGAATCTGATGCCCTTTCAGTTCACTTTGTAAATGTTCTTAAATATTGATAACCACCCCTGAAATTCCTAAAAATCCTATCTTTCTCAGTGATTTTATACTGGATTTCATTTAGTTTCTTATTTGTACTACCTGTTACAGAGGAAGTGACAGCATGCATAGTGCCCTAAATACCTATATTCCACTCCTCTCTTTTAAAAAAATACTGAATTAGATAATTTGGCAGCTGGCTGCTAAACCCAGAGACATTTCAGAATCAATGAGTATTTTTTTAAAAATTCTTTTTTTAAAAGGTTTTATTTTATTTATTTGAAAGTTAAAGAGAGAGATGGAGAAACAAAGTGCAAGAGATCTACCCTCTGGTTCACTCCCCAAATTGCTGCAATGGCCCAGGCTGTGCCAGGCCAAAGCCAAGAGCTTCATGCAGGTCTCCCTCATTGGTACAGGGGCACAAGTACTTTGGCCATCTTCCACTGCTTTTTCAGGCGTATTTGCAGGGAGCTGGATCAGAAATGGAACGGCCGGAACTCCAACCTGCACCCATATGGGATGCCGGTCAGTGTCACAGGTGGCAACTCAACCTGTTACGCCACAGCGCTGGCCCCTAGAACTCTTATAAAAACTCTTTTTTGTAATCTTAATAATTATCTAAGGTATATATCATTACTCATATTTAACAAAAGAGTAATCAAGCTATAAGGAGAAAAAGAGAAAATATTAGATACAATTATGCACTACACAGTGATGTTTTGGTCAGCATCAGACCACATATATAATGGTGGTACAATAAGTTATAACAGAACTGAAAAATTCCTATTTCTTAGTGACAATGTAGCCATCATAATATACATAATCCATAATATATGACTGTGTTATGGCTTATGGTATTATACTTCTCTCATTATAGTATACTCTTCTACTCATATTAACAATCTTACTGTAAAATACTATGCCATATTATACCAGCAGCAGCATTAGACATTTAATGTTTACCATCACTCTTAATTGCATCATTTATCTTGTGCTTGACTTAATGTTTTGTACTGTTTGTTCATTGTGGTGCTAGGATTAAAAGGCTACACACACACATACACCCCTACACACATACAAAGGTACTTTATAAAAAGTTGCAGAAAATGGAATTAAAAGATAAGTTTATTTTGGTACAAAAAATTAAAATGCATGTGTATCAGGATCTCCAAAAGTCCATGACAATATAACTATGAAAAAACTATTCATGGATTAAAAAAAATTTTTGTACCAAAATAAACTTATTTTTTAATTCCATTTCCAAGAATTTAAAAAATAAACCCTGTATGAGTATACACATACACACATACATCATATATGGTAAACAATTATAGATATGCATTATATATCCTAGGTATTTAGTATGTTATTCCATCTAGGTTTGTGTAAGTACATGCTATGATGTTCCCACAAGGATCAAGTTAACTAAAAAGGCAGCTCTTAGAACACAGTACCATCACTGGGTCATGCCTGCTGTACATTTAATGAGTACCTACTACATGCTAAGAATTTCTGAGTACCCCATGAGGGCAATGATCATGTTTGTTTTGTTTACTACCCATTCTCAGCATGTCTAGCATGCTACCTGTAACACAATACCTGCTGAATATTATTTGTGGAAAGTTTAAACAGCAACCATACTATAAGGCTGAAGAATAATAGGGCTATTCTCCCTGTCCTAATGTGTGTGTGTGGAGGGGCCATATATCTGTATACCTGTAAAATAAAAGCCTTACTAACCTGGGTTGCTGTAATCTGTTTGTCATACCCATATATTCTCAGTGACTTTGGGAAACCCTAGTAGAATTTTTATTTTCTCACCATTAAGTTTTCACAGTTTTTGCTCCCTTTATATTAAGGCTAGAGGGTGGCATCAGGGCCAGTCCATGGAGAAATATTTCTTACTCCAGAAAGGAGTGTCTTGAATGTATTTCCCCTTGTTACATGTTGTCACTCTAATTTATTTAACACTGTAAAACATTATTTTTTCAAACAGTGTTTAGATTAAATTATAGATACCCCCCCAGAGATGGCACTGTTTTGTGAAGTAAAGACATATTTCATATCCTAAAATTTCAATTTGTATTTTTAGAACAAACCCAGGCTTGATTTTCAGTTGGCATTTATTGATGTTTGTGTTACCCACAACACTTCTTTCCATTAGCAGAATTAACCGAAGGTTGATTACACCTCCTCCACAAAGCCACATGGTTTTTCAGTTTTTCCATCTTCATTGCTTCAGATGGCTATGGCACAGCTCATGATTAATCACTTACTTTGAATATTCTGAAAACAGTGCTGCTGTCTTTCTCAACTCTGGAAATTCTAGGAAAAGTTACCATTACTCACCACACACATGAGAAGGTTCACCATGAAAACCTCAGGGTTTCTTACAACTCTGAGCTAATTTTTCACAGAAATGCATTTTAAAATTCGAGAACAGTTGTATGCTTTTCCTTCTAAATTGCTGAGCGATTTAATGTCTTTTTAATGTGAGAAGCCATTTACATTGTCCCGAAGTGTTACAGCCTTTAAGTCAATCGTAAGATTGCACCAGGCTCCATTTGCTCCCAGATTTCATGTGCTGTATCAACAGCAAAGGAAAAAAATAGCACTCATTTTTCAGACACTGTTGGCTGATTCTGTTGCTACTAATGCAAAGATTTGGCTTTTAATTTGTTGTTGGTTTCTGTAAAGCACAAATCATATTATTGGTTTTACATTATGTGATATGTGAAGAAACAAAGCAAGGTTTTTTTGTGTGAAAATTCAATTTTAAATTGATTAATTTATTTTAGTGTTATATAGCAGAGACTATACTTTATTATCCTGGAATAAGCCAATTTACTATAAATCAGTCTAACAAATGAAATGCCTAGAGGTTAGCTTATAAATTGAAGTTCTGTTTTTTGTTGTAGTGAATATAAATGAATCAAAATGCAAATTCCTAAGACAGTCTAAAAATGTTACTAGCAGCATTTGTATATAAATCATTGATCTGACTTTCATAGCTGAATTATATTCAGCCAAGATTCTGTTTGTATATGTGTTTCTTCTCAGTTCTGATAGAAATTTGAAGTTGCCAACTCTGTTGAGAGAGAGATTTTTTTCATTTGGTTGGTAGGGAAGGTGTGCCCCATTGTATTCTTACTGGCCAGGAGACCACTCTAATAAGATGGTAGTAAAACTTTCATAAAATTTTGAGTTGACATATTATATAGTCAGTGCAACATGAATTAACACACCAGATATGAGGACTTCACTTAGATCCCTCTGGCTGAGAAAAGTGAGATATAAAATATCATGTAGGGTTGGTGCTGTGGCTCACTTGGTTAATCCTCTGCCTGCGGTGCCGGCATCCCATATGAGCACTGGGTTCTAGTCCTGGTTACT